TTGCAGCAGGGGGCAAAAACGAACCTTCTGGCAGATCTAGTGCTGACGCCCGCACACAGTCATACAGTAGCTTTGTGGGGAGGCTGTAGGTCAGGAGGTAAAGCAGCATCTACTAATCGCAAGGCCGGTGCTTCGATCCCTGGCTGCTCCAGTCTGCAAGCCACATATCCCTGGGCAAGATACTAACCCCCACATCACTTAAACATAGAAGAAAGTGCTTGTATGAATGGGCGAATGAGGCTGTTGTATAAAGCACTATATAAGAATCAGTCAATTTTACAATGCTATACTTTTCCTGTACGTTTCACAGCGCGTTTCTTTATTTCTAACCCCGGTCCATGTTTGAACTCTTCCTCTTTCATGTGAACCTGCTGCATAGATAAACCCCGGGTAGACTTATGCAGCTGATAACTGTGTTCACGTGACCCTTTAGCCTGATTGCTGATGTTAGATCAAGCAAAGCTACATAATGGAAAGCTACCCTGGCTATGATGCATTTGCTTGACAGCCCAGGCCCCAGGAGATGAGTGCAGCGCAGAAAGGCAGCACTTTTACAGATAACCAGATCTGCAGATACTGAAACAAGGAACTAAAAAAATGCAAACATGCTCGGTGCTCTAATCTGGGAGGTGTCGCACAACAGACTCACTTTCACTGCACTCGTGTTATGCTTCAAGACATGCACAGTGGAAACACAGTAATTACACACAGCCCGTCTTGTGCACAAAGAGGATGATGGGCTATAAAATGTAGAGCTGATAGCTATTATCACAAAAGGAGGCCTGTCAGGAAGCAGCTGGTGGTGAGCAGAGATCAGTGAGGGAGGGGACAAACAAAAACAATCTCTCCAGATTTTCATTTCAATCCAGACGTGTTTTTAACTGTATAATTTGCCAAAATCCTTTCTGAAGGAAATGACACTTTAGCTGTTAAGAGTGGTGAGTATCCATTTTAGCATCAGTGCATCTGTCAAATAAAGAATTACATTGCAACAATAAACTGGGTAGTTTACATTGTTTAAAGAAACTTTTAGAACTACATAATAATAATTCTTGATATGACAAAGTTATTACTGTCAGACGCTGCACAGACAGCTCATCTCCCATCTGACTCCCTCACAATCAGCTGATTGTATTTGCACAATGATGTTTGCATATTTAATGACGCCATGCGACTCTTCACCTTCATTCCAAGAATATCAACACGATTACAGAGAATCGGTATCGTGATGCACATCACAGTTTCATCAGCAAAACACTAATTTGAGGTTTTCTATCTGACTGTACTTTTGGAGGTTTTCTCACACAAGTCATCAGAAAACGGAGCAAACACCCAGGCCAGCGATGCCGGTTTCTGATCCTCTATGCCATTTATATTCAACTGATGCAGTTTCAGTTATTAAAACTTTCATACAGTGCTTAACAAACCTGTCAGATCACCTGTCATAGAAACAAGAAAACAAATATCAAAGTGTTTGGCACTGTATATGCCCTGATAGTAATCACAGAAAAACACCTTTAGCTGAGATGTTGTATCTTAAACAAAAGAAGGTGCAGCAGATTTCTATAACACAGCAAACATCAGATACTTGCGTCACTTCCCAGTATGTTTATGACTTCACCAGATAACAGGACATGAGCCTTTTTCACTTTTTCATAATTAATCTTTTGCTCATACCGAAGTTGCTGGCCAGAGGCTGACTCACAGCTCACGGTAGCTTTAGCCACTTTCCTTTTGTTAGCTTTTGTAAAATGTCCATATTCAGCTGAAGGAGTCTGATTAGCTTTGTTGTTAGGAGCATTTTTGTTGCAGTCCCCTGAGGTTTACTTTAACAACTCAAACCAGCTTATAATCAGTCATAAGTGAGGGTGACTGGCCAGTCACCAAACATCTAAGGTGGGTCAGATGGGACATTAGCAACCGCAGAATCTGGAGCTAGGGAGCTAGATGCAACTTCAGGATGTTTCATGTATGTGCCATTGGTTAGTGTGAGAGGACGGACTGATGACCTCGGCCACTTAAAGACAGTACATCAGATACCCTGTAACC